GACGGCAGGATAGCCAGCCGGCCGGTGCCCCAGGAGCGGCAGCCCTCTGTCCGTGCTGACGGGAGGTGGGGGCTGGGTCTCCCACGTGCCCACACACAGTGGGGCAACTGAGGCTCACCCTGCCTTTCAGGGCCCTCCCTGGGACGGGGTCTCAGCGGCCCCCAACGCCACCTGCTTGACGAAGTGCCTTTTCCAGGCTCCCGTCTCCTCCAGCGCAGTGTGCCCGGCCCCCGTCTCGGGGTCTGTGTCCCAGGGAACCACACCGGCAGCCCTTCCACCCACACCCCTGCCAGCAGCCGAGGTCTCGCTCCTCCCCGCAGGGCCCGGGGGGACTCGGGCACACCCCTCTCTCTATCGCCAGCTGTGACCTCCTTCTCCCTTCTGCTAACCGTCCCTGTAGGCTGTCCCTTCCTGGGAAGAGGAGCGGGTGTACACCCGAGAGGCCTCTCCCACCGCCCTCCCAGCCCCCGCCCCTGAGGGGCAGCGTCCGGGGGTGGCAGCTCACCGGCCCTGGCACTCCAGCCCAGGGCGGTGCTGCTTCCTGCCGTCTGTCTGGGAGCACAGCACAGTCAGAAGACGCGAGCAGATGTCTGGCTCCCACCCAGCCCCGTCCCATCGGCCAACAGTAACAGGGCACAGAGACGGCTGCTGCAGGGAGGCAGGAAGGGTGGGGCTCCGGCCCAGCAGCTGGGACGGCCTTAGGAGGCACCCTCCAGAAGGCCCCGGGCCCGGGGGCGGGAGGGTGCTCCTGAGCGACTGTCTTGTGGCGTCAAGTGCCCCAAGCCGGGGTGGGTCAGCTCCCCAGACGGAGCCCCCAGCCCCGCGCCAGGCGGCCTGGCTGCCCGGGAGGCCTGGAGGAGCTGCAGGAACTCCCGTCAGTCAGAAAGGGTAGGGCCGGGCCCGCTGGCTCACCCGTGGCCCACGGCCTCCCCCGCACACGCGGGGGCATCTCCAACGCTCCCCCCACGGAGACTGCACGTGTCTGCACACCTTGCTCAGCACGGGGCTCCAGAGCCTCGACACGTGAGCAGGGCTGGTGCCGGAGACGACCCCACGCACCCTCCCTCGGGGCTCACGGGCGTGCGAGGCGGCTGAGTCTCCCCACGGGCCCAGGCAGCACGAAGTGTCGGGGCTCCGGGGCTGCCTCCCACAGGGAGGAGCCGCCTGTGCCCCCAGTCCCTCTCCCTCCACCGGGCCAGGCTTCTCCCAGGCCGAGAGGCCCCCTGACCCCCGCTGGCCCCTGCATGTGGCCCTGCCCTGCAAGCTGGGCTCTCCTGCCCTGGGCGGGGCCCTGGGGCCGCAGGTGCGAGCCCAGGCCTGGCCGTCCTCACGACGCACTGCAGTGCGGCTCCACCGCCGAGCTCACTGGTTCACCGCAACGCCACGAGCCCACAGAGGCCCCCACCGCAGACAGGGCAGCGCAGAGGGGTGCTGTGTGTCCCGGCCCGCACCCAGGCCGCCTGGCGCCCTGACGGAGGCCTCAACACTGGCCAAATCTCCTTCCTGTGTCCCCACTTCCCCTCCTGCCAGACCCAGAGGACCATGGCACCGCCTCACAGCTTACACGTGCGGACCCGACCGGCTAATTCACTGGAAGTGCTTGGAACAGGGCCTGGCTTGGGCAGGGACCCTGCAAACGCCAGCTGTGTCGAAGACACTCTCACAGTGGGGACGCGACTCCCCGGAGGCACCCCTGCCCTGGACGGAGACGCGGGGACAGACCCCCGCCCCGAGGCTCCGTCCGCGAGGTGGGGCGGAGGGCGCGCCAGCGCCCCGGGGCAGGAGCCCTGAGGACAGTCCTGTCGCTCCCGGTGCTGGACTTGCAGCGGCCCGCGGGGGGGGGGGCGTCTCAGCTCCCCTTTAGCCTGGGAGCAGGCGCAGCTTCAGTGAGGCCCAGTGGCTTCCAGGCCCCAGCTGGGGAGGGGCCAGTGTCCACCCTGACCCCACGTCTCCTCCTGCTCCGTGTCCCATGCCTCTCTCCGGTGCGTCTTCTCACTCCGCGGAACCGTCTGACGGCTCGGAGAGGAAGCCCGTGACCCCGCGGAGAAAACGGAGGTGTGGCCAGGAGACGGGCTTGGGCAAGGCTGGGAGGCAGCCGCTTGGACAGGCTGCCGCCGTGTCGTCCCTCGGGGTCCCCAGGCCTGGGCTCGCAGTCGTTTCCGGGGGCGCGCTGCAGGCTTCAGACGGCAAGTCGGTACAGAGCCCCAGGGGGGCTGCCACCCCACTCCCCCCAGGCACCCGCTGGGCAGAGCCCCTCCGAGGGCTGTCAGAGCAGCTCTTCCGCACGCCTGACCCCTCTGCCTTTTACAAGGGAACACCAACGGACACCCTGGCCACAGCGCTCGCAGGGCTCCCCCTCCTCCTCCCACGCACGCGAGAAAACTGGAAACTCCCTCGCATTCTGCTGGGAACCTCAACCCTTGAGAGGGCAACACTGAGTTAGGGTTTTTAACAGTGACACCTTGTGGCCACTTTGAGAAGTGCATGGCCAAGCCCAAGAGAGAAACCTGGGCGCTTCCAGGTTGGACACCCCGTCAGGGCCCCTGGCCTAGGGGCCTGGCCCGACCTGTGGGCAGCCGCTGACGTCTGGGGGGTGGTGTTGGGGGGGCGCTGTTCCGAGCCCGGCCTCTGTCTTCCCGGCGCCTGGGCTCCGCCCCTTCTCTGACCTGGGCCCCTCCCCCCCGCCCCCGCCCCCCCAGTCTGTGAGTGAGCGGGAGGCCGTGCCGCCTTGCCTTCCAGGCGGAGAGAGACCACCGGCCCGCTGTCGCCACGTGGACAGGCCCTGCCGTGGGCGCCGGACACACGGACTCTCCCCGGTGCATTTGGCGCTCAAACCTCTCTTTCCTCACCGTTCTCACAGCCTCCCAGCCATGAGCCACACGTCCGTCCGCGTCACCCACAGCTCCCCCCGCCCCCCGGGACTCAGCGGGCGAGCGTCAGGCTCCCCCAGACCACACGTGCACGGGACTCGGCCGTCAGGGAGTTACCGTCCAGTCTGTGAGCCGGCCCACGGATTATCATCACATAACAACTGCTGCTGCTTAATGATTAAAATGGGTCTAGTTATATTACATTAATCATTATATTGGATAATAGGCCCGATTATATCACATTGATAGTAACTACATCTAGTAGCAGCGGGTCTAATTACTATGCAATACAACGATGACATTCAATGGTTACACAGGCTGACGGAATGGCTATCAAATCTGTGAGCAGGTCTGTGCTGCCTTCACACCAGGTCTGGAGCGTCAGCGGCGTGTGCACACACACGCTCTCACATGCACTCACACGCACAGACGCTTACACGGGTGCCTTATGTGTGACTTACACCTACAAACGTCGCTCTCACGCTGAGTGAACTCGCACGCGCACTGCAGGTAACACTCTGAGCAGCAGGCAGCACACGCGGACGCCCCGGACAGGTGGGCGCAAGGGCACACGCAGCAGCTGCAGGCTCCTCCCCGCCCACCTCGGCGGCCCCCCTGCCCCGTGCGCCCCACGCTGCAGACCGCCACTCGGGCTGTGCCCACCGGCCAGGGCGTGGGGGCACACAGCCGCCTTGTCCCCGGGGGCCAGTCTGCCCAAACTGCCAGGTTCCCTCCAACACCCAGACGGGAAAACCAAACAAACTGTCAGGACCCCTGGACCCCTGGAAGCTCCCTCAGAAACATCACCAACTCTGTACTCCGCAGGAAAAAGAAAACAGGAAGGGTGAACCCCCCCCGTCCAGGGTGGCCCACACACGAGTCTGGGGGCCTGGGGCAGCGGTGCTCCCAGGCGACACCGAGCCACATCCGGAGACAGTGTGGTTGTCGCAGACAGAGGTGCACCACGGCCCGCGGCAGGCGGGCGGCCGAGGCGCTGCGGACATCTCATGACACACAGGACAGCGCGCCCGCCAGCGAGCCGCCTGGACCCACGGAGCCGAGAGCAGGCCGAGGCCCGGACGCCGTGGCTTGGAAGGAGGTCGAGAAGGCGGGCCGTCCTGCCCAGCGCCGCTGGGCACGAGCTGTGGGGCCCTGGGCCGCCGCTGGACTCTACAGCCAGGGAAGAGCCCACCGAGGGGAGCCTTCCTGACAGGAGGACCCCCCACCCTGCCCCCGCAGCTCCCAGCCCCGGCTGCAGGACAGAGCCGCCCAGCGCCCAGGCTGCACCCCAGACCAGCGAACGGGACCCTCTGCAGGCTAATGCCAGGCCCACCCAAACGCGGAAGCCCCTGTCCCACCTGCCACAGCACTTGACGGCTGGCACCCGCCACCCCCCCCCACACCGAGGAAGGTCACCCAGGGCCCTGCAGCCGCATCTGCGTACAGTGCACCCGCACCATCTCCAGTGCACTTTCTGCCTCTCCGAGCAGGTGTGCAGGAGCAGCCTGCGAGCACACCTCTACCTGCAGGGCAGGGTGTCGCCGTCCGTCAGGACACCTCCCCCACGGAGGAGGAGCAGATGGGCAGACAGGTGGAGCCCTCCCACCAAGCAGCTGCCACCACTGCTGTGCGGTTGCAGAGATGAGGTGGCAGTAACAGAGAGGCTTGGCTGTGCACAGACCACCATGAAGTAACACGCGTGCACAGACCACCATGAAGTAACACGTGACTGCTCGGGAGAGGGCCTGACCCTCCTCAGCCAGAGGCAGAAACGCAGTCACAAGGGGAACCGTGACCTCTGAGGTGAGGCCACGGCCCGCAGGACGCACGGGTGGCCTCTCGGAACCCTGCACGGAGCAGTGAGGGACTGGGGGGCCACGGCTCAGAGCGGCCCACAAGCTTTATTACACACACACGGCTTTCCCCGGTCCCGCACGGCCCACGGACGCTGCTGCGACACGGGACCCACACAGGACGCCGAGGTCTCCGGGGTCTTGCCGCCAGCAAGAGGACTCGCCTGTCCCTTGTGAACGCTGCTTCTGAGCAGTGCCCAGGACCGACGTGTGTGTGTCCCCGACCGCCCCCCACCCCACCCCCGCACCAAGTCCATAACCCTCACGCAGCCGTCCCTCAATCATACACCGTCGGGGAGCTCTGCGCCTTAAAATAGCTCGAGGCGTGGCCGAGGGAACCGGCGTCTCGAGGAGCCACGCATGGTGCGTCCCTGGGCCCCGGGCCGGCCGCCAGCCCCAGGGCAGGAGTGTCCCGCATGGGCAGTGGGCGCACATCCAACATGGTGCTCGAGTCCTTCCTGGGACTGCCCGTCACCAGCACCCAGTGGTTCCTGGGCTTCTCCGCCCTGTGCGAGTCCAGGTGGGTGTGGGCGGCGACCTCCGCCTCCTTTCCGAAGTAGGTCCTGGCGCGGGGGAGAGGAGCGCGGGTGGAGCAGCCGCCCTCTGCCCGCAGCCCGTGGGCCCGGGAGCCTCACCCACTGGGCACCCTGCGGGGAGGGCGGGGGCCGGGCCCCGTGGCGCCGATAGCCCCTCCGCTGCAGGGACTTGTGCAACGGAGGGGGCTCCAGCTGGACCTCTGACGCCGGCGCAGGTCCCCGGCCCAGCACTCCGCCATCAAAGGGCTGCCTGGTGGGCCGCCGCACTTTCAGCGGAGCCCCCTGCTGAGCTTCGAGGCCCACCCCCGCCCTAGAGCGGCCTTCTGCGGGACCCTGCCCCACGGTACCTTAAAAAAAGGTGCCGGTGAGCCGCCAGCCCTCGGTTCGTGTGGCAGTGATTGATGAGAATTTTGCTGTTTGCCTTAAAGATAAGGAAGAGTGTCATTTGCACTATGAGCTCAGGCCTCTGATTTCCTAGAAGCCAACAACTGTGAATGCACCACACACTCACCTCAGTTCACTCACACACACACACGGAACAGCCCGGGGGCACACCGTGACAGACGGAGGGGACGCGCCACGGCAGACGCACGCGTGACGGAGCACCGCACAGGCACCTCGTCCTCCTGGAGGCGGTCTCCGACCACGCAGTGTGGTCGTGCCGGTGCAGTGAGAACACCCCCGACTCCAGGGCTCACAAACGCCCTCGGGCACACACTGCCATCACCCCACTCCACATGGGAGGAAACTGAGGCACTCACAAGCCGACTCGCGGAAACAGGAGGCAACCCCACAGAGAGCGCGGCTGGGCCAGGGCCAGCCGAACGGGGGGAGTGTGTGAAGTGTGCGTCGCCGTGGACCATGAGTGCACTGTCCATGTGTGAGACGGAACCTTGTGATCTGGGTCCAGGGTAGAGCTGCGGGGGGCGGGGGGGGGAGGCAGCACACTGTGTCTCGGGGCTTCAGAGTGGGGGGGTGTGCTTGCCTGGACAGCACCTCAGCGGGCCAACCCTGTGTCCCCGCACACTCTCCCAGGGACTCCTGACGACCCTGCCCTCAGGACTCTGCCCCCCGGCCCCGGGCACCACTCTGTGCCCGCCAGCCAGCCCTGCCTCTCACCAGGCCCGCAGCGCGGCCCCTCCTGCAGGGGTCCGGGTCCTCAGAAGACGCCCCACAGCAAGGACAGAGAGACGCTGCCCACGGGACCGCCGTGCTCACCTGCACGGACGCCCCACTCTCCCGTCACCCGCCCACCACGTCCCAGTGTCTTTGAAACTGAGATCACAGTGCCAGCATCCTTGTGGCCTCAGGCCCGAGTTCTCAGCCGTTCTCAGGGCCGGGCCCTGGGTCTTTACACAGCCCTGCAGATGACTCCACGGTGCAGGGAGAGTGGAGAAGCACCGGTGCAGAACGCCGCCACAGGGCAAGGCTGTGCCCTCCCAGCTCAAGACACAACCACAGCGACAGAGAGAGAGAGAAACAACACAGGCACAAGAGGTCTCGAAGCCACCACGAGCCTCCTCCGTTTGGCAGAAGGCAGGAAGCACCCCCACCCCGCACAGCGTGGTGCACCCCGCTGCCCTCCCGGCCGCCGGCCGGCCGTGCTCACCGGGATGGGGAAGCCTTCGTGCTCCAGGCGCAGCTGGGGGTCGGGGAAGGCCGCCTGCCAGCAGTTCAGGTAGGAGACGTCGTCTGTCAGGTACACCTCCTGCAGCCAGGACCTCTTGGACGACTTCAGCAGGGTCCTGTGGTCACTTGATAAATACAGCTGCAAAGGACAGCAAGCAGATGGACATGCTCCACTGTTCGAAAATCTGGGAAACAGGAAGCCGTCAGCTGGCTGACGGCAAGCGTGCCAAAAACGATTCTCAAAATCCCTATTCTCAACGACCACACGAGGAGGTTCGTCTTCCCTCCACCTTCGAAAGGTCACCCTGGACCCTGTTCGCCTCGAACTCTGTCCCCTCCTTGGGGTGCTGCACTCATTGCCCTCTCCGTCCTCACTCCCCCGTCCCCACCCCCCTCCTTCTCAGGGCACTGGGCCTGTATCAGTGTGTGTGTGTCTGTGTGTGTGTGTGTGTGTGTGTTTATTACAGAGAATGTTGCACGGAGCTCGCTGTGGAAGTGAAGTGATGAAACTTTATTTTATCAATAAATACAAATTTTAAAATAAATCAACCCCAAACAGACCAAAGAATAAACTTAAGGAAAAGTTAAGTTTTAGACAGCTGGCAGTTAAAACAAGTTTTTCTTCTCACTGCACCTCTGGCGCAGATCTGAAAGGCTCTGGGCAGTGGAAGGAACGACAGAGGAGAGCACTGACAGATCCTACTCAGAAACACAGCGGGAACGGCCACAACCGAGAAGCCACGCAGCACGTGGGAGGATGCGTCAGCCACAGAGCCGGAGGAATGTGACGATCCACAGACGAGCAGATGTGGGAGACGAAAGGGATGGGCAAGCAGAGAGCGGGTGGTTTACAGCAGGGAGGAGGTGACAGGGAGGAGGAGGGAGAGAAGGAGGGGAGAAAGGAGAAAAAAGCAAAGAGAAAAAAGATATCTAATATTGTAGTGCCTGTAATTTTTCCTGTACCTGAAATCTGCTCTCCCCCCTACAAAAGAAAATGAGCCAGAACGTTAAGGTGCTGATCTCCAGGTAAGAAAGACGACACGGGTTTACTGCCCTCTCTGGACAACTTGGTAACTCTGCTCATTTCTAACATTTAACATCAGGCAGCAGGTGGCCCTGGCCAGTGTGGCTCAGCTGGTTGGAGCGCCGTCCCTTCACCCAAGGGCCACAGTTCGATTCCTGGTCAGGGCACATGCCTGGGGTGTGGGTCTGGTCCCCTGTCTGGGCTCACGTCCCCAGTCCGGGCGTGTGAGATCCCCAGTCCAGAAACTCACGGGCGGCAACCAATCAATGCCTCTCTCTCCCCTCGATGTTTCTCTCTCCCCCTTCCTCTCTCTCTAAAAGCAATGAAATCCTCAGATGAGGATGAAAAATTTAAAAAATAATAATAAAATCAGGCAGCAGCTCAGCAAAAACATTATGGTACCGGCTCTGTCACTTTGTAACAGAGTGATGCAGAGCAAAATCCTTAACCTCCTTGTGCCTTGGTTGCTCTAGCAACAAAAGAGGGGTGAAGGTGTCTCCATCAGAGACTTGTCTGGAGGAATAAACGAGTTCCCATACATGAAGCACCTCGGCAGGTGATAAGGTGTAATAACCCCCACTTTTATAGTTGAGAGAGACTCAAAAAGGTCAGTACCTTACCAGAGTCCCGTCCCATAGGTGCATGCCTCAGCCAGAATTCAAGCCCAAATTTACCTGGTTCTGTCTCTCCCCTCTCCCCTCAGGCAGAAATACAGGTTGAGGACTCATGCTGACTCATGCAAACCTAGGCAAACCCAGGCATCTCTTACTGTCCTCCTCTCGTCAGACAGCAGCCTGACACTGAAAGGTCAAGAACGTCGTCAGACCCAGCACTGGGGACGTCAGACAGCTGTCAGGTCATCATCATCATATAATCTAGTCACTCAGTTCTCAGGTGAAAGTGGCATAAATTCTTACTTCTTGCCAGCTGCACTGAAAATAAGGTTTGCTCCGCTTTAAGGGTGTGTTTCTGAAGTTTCCCACGTGAGCAGGAGGAATGGGCCCAGAGCTGCCTGTGCAGAGATGGAGCCCACGCCTGCGGTTCTCTGTCCACTGCGGCAGGTGACCGCCAGCCCACACGGAAACACGCAACCGGTGCCAAGAGCACACGTGACAGGACGACTCACCATGGGGTCTTCGGATCCCCTCGTGATCCCGAGGCGGAAGTTCTGCCCGAATCTGAGCACGTCCCCGGTGGCCGCCGGCTCTGCACTGTCCGCGAAGAGGAAGTCTGGTGTCATTTCTCTGAGTGAGAACCTGTCCCCAGCTCCATTCTTCACGTGCGCAGTTTTGTTCATGACTTTCTTGGTGAAGCACATTCATGTACTATACCTGAATCACCTCACTCAACCAAAGGCCTTTCTTTTGGTCTTCAAGTCCAGCCAGTACCCGACCCCCTGCCTCCCAACACGGCCAGTACACGGGACACCCCACACGGTCAGCCTCAAGGGCACTGCGCACGTCACCCTGCCCCCACAACTGAGACACTGGCTCAGGCACTTATGTCAAAGAGAAACAAGGTAACACTTTCGGAAAAATGTAATATAGTCCTCCCCCTTAATCCTCCAGGAAACAGAATTTGTCTTCATGTAAAATACCTGTACTCAAAATAAGTCTAAATTAAAGATTTAAAGAGGATGGGCCCTGGCTGGTGTGGCTCAGTGTATTGAGCGCTGGCCTGCAAACCAAAAGGTTGCCAGTTTGATTCCCAGTCACGGAGCATGCATGGGTTGCAGGCCAGGTCCCCACTAGGGGGCGTGCAAAAGGCAACCACACATTGATGTTTCTCTCTCTCTCTCCCTCTAAAAATAAATAAATAAAATATTTTTTTAAAAATAAAGACTTCAAGGACTGGCTATATTCCTCTAATATAAACATGGCTATCACAACTTAGTAACTAAGTGAAAGCAATGTTTTTAATTGTAATTTTCAAAATCTCCTCAAGTACATTTATAGCAAACAATGAATTTTTAAATAGTAATTCCCCACATTACGTGCACTTGCATTAAACAATGTGTTTCTGGTGTAAAAATAACATGGCAACATTAAAAACGACAGGAGCCCTCAAATGAGCTCCAGGCACTCGGATGTGTTATTAGGAAAACCCACTTTGCTTCTAAGAGAATATGAGATTAGTTCCCTGATTCAACATCTTTGAATTAAGCATTTTGAACTGAACACAAATTTTAAATTCCTGTTCTTCACAGTAAAGGGATGGTGAAGGCAATCACCAGGGTGAAGGAATCATCACCCTGGACGGTGATTCCCAGGGTGATAGAGCGAGAATATTCACAGAACTTCTGCCTCCAAGTCAGCCCGGCCCCAATCCCAGGCCATCCTTAAGCTACAAGCCCAAACAGACATTTCTGACAAAATTTTAAATACCGTTACCTCAGAATGATGAAAGTGTTTCTGCCCACCGGGATATCAGTTGGCGCCGCACTCAGGCCACAGGGCACCTCAGGCGTGTCGCTCAGATGGGCTCTGATCTCATCGGGGGCCAAGCACAGGCTCAGGTCCCCCCTGAGAAACACATCGGCTTCTGTCTCGGGATAATCGGGGTTCACCAGCATCACGCTGTCACCGTGGTGAACGTGTCCGTCCTCAGATATGGAGAGCTGCGTCTACAGTGGAGTCAGAAGTGTTTCTGTTCAACGTGCAGGTCCTGAACGGCCAGTGCCCAGGCTGTCTCCGACCTACTCCTCTCCTCCTCAGAGTTGGACCAGCTCAACAGGCCGCTCACCGGACCCCCTAGAATCCCAGTCTTCCTCTTCTTGCCACCGACCTGCTCCCAACGTGCCAAACAGGAGCCCCCAATGACCCAAATGAAGTACAATGAAACCAACGAAAAATCACACAGGCTGAGTCCACTGTTCATTTATTCAACATTGACTGAAAACGTCTTCAGTGCCAACTGAGGGACTTTTCGTTTTACTAATCCATGTATTGATGTAATTATTTCTTAATGCAGGTTAACATAGTTAACAGCAACCTTCTCTTATGTTTCTGAAATCCTTGATAATTTTAAATATTGTGGTTTTCCAGTCTAAAAGAGAAAAACTGGTATTTTCCAAATAACTCATTTACAGAATTTTCACTTGTTTAATATACACTCACACTTGATTTAAAAGAATTTTGAAAACAGTATTTGGAGTTAAAATTACCGGTCTCAGAAGGCTCTCTTTCAGTCTTATGCTTCTCTGTATGAGAAGCTGTCCCTTATCCCTCTTCTCTAAGAAGTCTTTCATGAGCTCCTGGGGAAAAACCAAAACAAAACACCAGTGAAACACAAACAGTCCTAGATAACACAGGTACTGAGAACAGAAAGAGAAATGTGAGCATCTTGGGAAGGGTGAAAATTTCTGTGGCATCACTTTAACATTTTAATTTCCTTGCACAGTGTTTAGAAAAATGACTAAGACACGAAAAGGAAGAGTCGCCTGTAATAACAGCTAGCGCCAGTCAGGGGCACCACTTGGAGGCACGTGCCCTCCCCTGAGGTCCCCAGGTGGTTTGATGCTTGACACCGAATGTCCCTCCCCCACCAAGCCTGCTGCAGGGATGGCCCAGGGCCCCCGCAGTCAGTGGAAGGACAGGAACAGAGACACCACAGAGACATCTGGGACAGCAGGTGTGACAAGGCAGGGCACGGGAGAGGGGCAGTACTTCTGTTTAGAACCGGCCTCCTCACCTGGACTGCAGCCTCAGGGACTGTAAGTCTCCAGGGAACAAAGTCTCTAGGGAACAAAGGGAGCCCTCAGAGGGGCTCCAGACTAAGGGGGAGGCACAGGTGGGAGGCTGGGGGGTTGGGGGGGGGGCTCTAGGGTCAAGGTGGCAAGTCTGAGGGGCCGGGCCTTAGAGAACCTAAGGAAAGAGTAAACGAGTAGACGAGCAGAGGCCCAGGTTGGTGGGACCTCAAGTGACCCCTGGATGGTCAGTGAGGGGCACGCGAGGAGTGCTAGGGGAGAAAGGGACCTCGGGTGCTCCACGTCCATCCACACTGAGGGTAGTCCTGGAGGTCCCGCAGCAGGAGGGGCGCCGCCCAGCCGCAGCCTCACCTCTTCCAGGTAGACGTCCTCATTCCAGTTGCCCATCCGGACCCCGGGACCGTAGAGGTTCTCCGCCATCCCCTTCCCGGGATGAGGCTGTTAGCGTCCCCGTCGCCATGACGACACGGCCCCCTGTGATTGGCCGAGGCACGGGCCCTGTCAGCCAATGAGAGACAGCACACGAGTTGCGCAGGTCCCCACCCCCGGAGCTACCGCTCCCCACCTGCCCTATTTGCGTTTCTGTCCAGCAGGCTAGAGGAGAACGGGAGCCTGGCGACCTCGTTGTCCTAGATGCTCTCTGGAGAGGAAGGTGAAACTGCTTTTCTTCCAGACGCTGAATGAGGACTGTCGTACTGGGAGGGTGCCCCTACTCCCTACGGCCGCAGAGGAACGGTTACAGGACGCCGTGGCTCGTTTGCAGCCTGTTTATAACCCGCAGCAGCACCAATTCCACCCTAATAGTGGAATAATACGGGCTCCGTGTGAAACCCGAAAGAGCATAAAAGGCGCGGGGGAAAGGGGGTTACTCAAAGTCTCACTGGCTCAAACGAAAGAAATGCATCACATTAGCATATTCCTATTTACGTGTTTGTGAGGTGGTTCATAGTTTTATGGGCTCGACAGCATTTTTTCTCCCTCTCCTGCTCTCCAAGTACGAGGACAAGCCTGCGATGTGCAAGAACTCGTGATAAAACCAGAATGCGCAGGAGCCAGCACTTGTGAAAATACTGTTTCATGAAGAGGAGGAACAGTTTCCACAGAAGGGCCTGGAGCCGGGGCGGTGCTGGCTGAGTGCATGCCGTGTCCGCTCAGCCAGGGCAGAGGAGAAGATGAGGGAGCCTTTCTCGTCCGAGAAAACACGTCTTTCCAGAAGGCAGAAGAATGGCCCTTGTGCAGTCAAAGAAGGGCGGTGGGGTGAAGGAAAGACTCCACTCTGCCTCTGCCGCGGGGGGTGGAGACTGAGAATCGGAGGCGCACGGGGTGGGTCAGGGAGGGGCTTTTCAGCTGAACTTGAAGGGTTCGAGCTTGGGAACATTCTCACACACCCGTGGGTCCGCCAGCTCGGTCAGGGCAGGGCCACATCCTAGGGCTACCTGCCTCCAACCTGAAGAAGCCCCTTCGGTTTTCTTGTGAAGTGGGTCTACTAGCAACACCTTCTCACGGTTTTTACTTACCTGCTTATTGCACCTTCGCTTTTTAACACACTTTCACTGGGTACTAAGACTTCCGGTTGCAGTTTTTTCTTTCAACACGTTAATTTAAATACGCCATCCTCCTGCCTCCTGGCTTCCTCTCCTCTAATGAGAACTCAACTCTTCACCGAGCACCGGGGTCGCCTTGGGGGCCTGCTGAGTGTCTCACACAGGCCCTTGCTGCTTCCAAGACGTCCTCTGCCCTTGGCTTTCACCGCTCTGACTGTGGTCTGGGAGACGATCTCTGGGCATTTAGCCTACTCGGACTCTGTTGAGCCTCTTGGAGATGTGGACCACTGGTTTTATTTTCATCAGATTTGGGGTTTGCCATTATTTCCTTGAATATTTTCTTCTGTTTCTCTCCATCTCTCCTCTCTTTCTAGGGCTCATATCACATGTATGTTAGTATGCTTAATAGTGTCCTCATTTCTCTAAGGCTGTATTCATTTTTCTTTCTTTCTTTCTCTGGTCTTCAATTTGCATGATTTCCATCAGCTTATCTTCCAATGTGCTTACTTCCTCTTCTGCCAAGTCCAGTCCAGTACTCCGCCTGCCTAGTAAACTTTTCGTTCTGGATATTCAACTTTTCCACTCCCGAATTTCCCCTGGGTTCTTTTATCATTTCATTCTTGATATCCTATACTTGCTGAGACACAGTCGCCATCATCTTCCTTAAATTCTTTAATCGTGGTTTCCCTCAGTTCTTTGGACTATTTATAGTAACTGCCCTGAGGTCTCTGTCTGCTGTGTTCAACAGCTGGGCCTTCTCAAAGCCCATCTTTCCCTCTGTGTAAGGGCCACGTTCTCCTGTTTCTTGCCAGTCTTGAGTTTTTGTGTGGGAACTGAACGTTGTGGATAGTACAGTGTACGGGCTGGGTGTATGGAGTCCCCACCCCGACACCTGTTGTTCAGGCCCCTGCTGTTCCGTGACCTGGGCCGAACCAGCTGAGTGAGAGGCCTGCTCCCCGGCGGTGCACGGCCCTCTGACACCACCACGCAGGGGTGCGGCGGGAGCGCCCAGAGTCCCCCGACCCCCTAAATGAGTCTCCTGGTGCACAAAATAGTAACGCAGGGAAGGATCTCACAACAAACAGCACAGGTGCACTTCAAATCCAGGGGATAATAACGAAACTGTAAACAAACATTTAGGGAGTTGTTTTAAACCATAGTTTACAAATCTTTAGTTTTATTTTTGAAAAAATATACAAGGGTTATTTGTTGTCAGTACAGAAAATTGTAGATCCATGTTCCTCAGAAGCCCTCCCCGCTAAGATGAAAACAGACGTGCACCCTGGTGTGCTGCGAGTCACCGTGTGACCGACGCAGCTCTCGTTTAGCAAAGAAGATCTCCAGCTCGGGCCACCGGCCCTCCCCGCACAGTCATGAGTTTTACACAAACCAGGTGCACACCGGAAGACTCACTTGCTTTTTTTTCTCATGATTGCATGAGGCTCTTGGAAAAATTTAACTGGAGTCTTTCGTTACTTACTTGTGAAACATCTGGCAGGAGAAGCCAAAGAAATACTTGGACAGCATCATTTTCAGAAAGGAGAAGTGGGACAAAGTTCAGATATTGGGAAAGAGAAATGAATGAGGTTATTAACTTTCGACACGAGTAGCTTTCAGGGTGCCGAAAATAAGTTTTTATGTCGTCAGTGGGCGACACGTGTGGTCAGTCCTCAGGGTGCAGCAAAGGAAACACGGGACTGAAGGTCCTTCCCCTCAGCTCGGGCGGGCGAGCCTGCCTCGGAGCCTCACACCTTCGCTGACAGAAGTGGGGTGAGGACGGCTTCACTGGTAGCTCTCCAGGAAGCATTTCCAAAGCCGTCTGCAGTGTACTAATCAATATGCAGAGGGAGAGAGTTCTGCCGTCAGTACCTCCGAGAAGTGCTGGGGTAGATGGGCTTCCCCCCGAAGACTCCACTGCAGAGGCACGCACAGCAGAGGCACGCACAGCAGAGGCACGCACAGCAGAGGCACGCACAGCAGAGGCACGCACAGCAGACCTCCACAGCCGTGACCGCGCACACGGCGTCAGCCCCGCTGTATTCACCATGGAACTCTGTCCTCAGAGACCCACCCTGTAAGAGCAGTGTTTTAGGGAGCACTCTGTGGGCCCAAGTGACAGAACCTTTTGAAAAGTGGGTAGGATTTGTACATGCAGAAAAGGAACCGAGGTAAGCACTTCCTGGATGGAGGAAGCAAGGTGAGGCCGGGCCAGGAAGTAAAGATGCCAGGAGCACCTGGAGAGCCCGAAGGGAGACTGGGGCATTGTGACAGCGGGGAGGAGACGGTGAGAGGCCTGTGCCGTGGTGAGAACCATGCACTTTCCTCTGTAAGGAGCAGAGCCACGACAGTTCCTGAAGAGGAAGCTGACAGCCGGCAGAGAGGAGCTGTGGGAAGGCTGCAGGGGCTACCGGCAGTGGCCTGACCGTCAGGCAGACGGGCAGGGTGGGGGCCAGGGGCCCAGACAAGAGACAGCCTGCGGAGAGATGGTGGGTGCTTGAGGACAGCAGGGGACATGGAGGAAAGAACCAAAGTCAACACGGTCAGCTCCTGAAACGTGACTGTCCTGTTGCCCATTCACCCAAACCTGTGGTGCATCGGGCAACAGCTCTGCACACGTCACGACACGTGTGAGGCACGGTGCCAAGAGGCAGTGCGGGGCCCCCCTGAGAGGGTGTTAGCACACACGGTCCCTGGCAGGACCGCACAGTCCTTTCGTGAATGCCGCCTCCGTCCCTGTCCTCTCCAGAGACCACAGGCTGCTATCTCACCAGAAAAGGGCCTCCTGGTCTTTTTGGCCTCCGTGTGCTTTCCCTTCTGGTTGCACCAGACCCCCGGGACAGAAGACCACCACGAATGCACTTCTGACTCGCCCCGGCCCGGCACATCGCCAGAGCCCAGCACGTGGCCCCGGACAGACTGAGGGGCTCGGCCCTCTCCACCCCCCTTACTGCCCTCGGCAACCGTGCAGCCCGTCGTCAGGCCCTCCACCACAGCGCACCTCCTGGGTCACGGGCTCGCACAGGAAGTCCGGGGAGCAGAGGACGTTCCCCTCTACTCACAACCCCACTGCCGTCTGAGGGGGGCACTGCTGTCTGAGGGGGGTGCTCCCTGCAGAGAGGAAGCCTGTCTGTCTCCCTCGGCTCCCTGGTGGGTTGGGGGTGCCCAGGCAGGCCCAGGGTGGGCTTCGGCAGCAGGAGCTAGAGAGAGCCCAGCGGCCTGCCTGAGAGCGAGCAGAAAAGCACAGGTCCCATCAGGAGCTGCACCCTGGAGAAGCAGTGGGCTCCCAGTGGTGGGGTGACCAGGAGGACAGGAGCTTCCTGGAGAGGACACTGAACTCCCCACAGTGTGCAGACAGGGCTTCCAGCCGGCACCCCAGACAGACCTCCGACAGCAGGAGGGTTTCGGGTGCTTAGACTGCGAGAGGAAGTCACCAGACATCATTTCAAACTGTTTTTCCTTTCAGTAAGGGAGCCCCTTCTCCAACAGCAGCAAGACAGAACTCAATCACATAAAACAAACAGATAAAAGTGGGTGGTCTTATAGCTGGCAGAAACGGTGAGCCCCCAAATGCCCACCATCCCCCGGAGGACCCTACGCATCTGCAGAGGGCAGTGTGGAAACCGCTGGTGGAGTTTTACAGGAAAGGAAATCGAGGCTCCCAGAGCGGCAGTCAGTATTCAGGGTGATGGGCTCTTCATGGGGGCAGAACAGGGCTGGAGTCAACACCGCTGCCTCTCAGCCCAAGGTTTTGCTTGCCGGCCCTCCCTGGTCCACACCTGGGCACCAGGGGGACCTCTCACCTGCTCACCACTGACTGCCAACCTCTGGTCAGGAGAAAGTTCCAGCCTTTACGGCTTCAGAAAGACATACACAGAAGCGTCTCACACATCGAGGACAAGCCTGGAAATGCAGCACGGGCGAGCCCGTTTGGGAGGAGATGGGAGCACTTCTCCT